TGTAGATGCTATAGCTGATAAAGCTCGTAAGCAAGTGTATCAGTATTTCGGAAATGAGGACACTATCGAAAATGCAAATAAAAATTCGGAAAAAGAAAAAGAACAAACATTGAATACAGACAATAATCAGGAAGAAGGTGAAAGTTCAGTATGTAATGTAAGTCAATCTGCAAGACCATCCGCTGAGATAAATACTTCTGCTGATAAATCTTCGAAATTTACACAGCAATTTAAATCATATTCTGTGAATAACTTTAAACACGAAGTAAAATTAACCAGTATCCTAAAATTACGTAAGGATATTGAAGACGAATGTCACGAAGGATTACGAGACATTCTAACTAATTTAACATTTGTTGGCTGCATCGATCAAACTTCGGCCTTGATACAGAGTGGAGTGAATTTATATGTATGCAATACTAGAAAATTAACGTAAGTAATTTTTATTATTTTGCATAATATAAATTTATTCATATCTTAAGATGTAATATTTTTTTAGGGAGGAACTTTTTTATGAAATCATGCTTTATGATTTTGCAAACTTTGGCATCATCAAATTTTCAGTGCGTATTTCAGGTACAACAAATTAAGTTTATTTTATAGCCATTTAACATTGCACGCGTGAATTTATTTTTTAGGAACGAATATCATTGTTCGATTTAGCAATGATTGCTTTAGATTCGGAAGAAACTGGATGGACAGAAGAGGACGGACCAAAGGAAGAATTGGCAGCGAGGGTGAAGGAGTTACTTTTAGAAAAGGCAGACATGATGAACGAATATTTTTCGATTGTTATGGATAAAGTAGGAAATTTGAGATCGTTGCCCATATTATTAGGTAAATATAATGTAACATCAAATACTGTTGTTATTACAAGAATAAATTGCACATATATGCTAATAATATTTTAGATAAATATTTTCCATACGAAGCGGAAATTCCATTGTATATAATGCGACTAGCAACGGAAGTTGACTGGAGAAAGGAACAATTATGCTTTCAAAATATTTGCCGGGAAACGGCAAAATTTTACAGTTACATCAGTCCGAAGTATCAGACACATGACTGGAAATATGTAACTGAACATGTTCTGTATCCGGCGATTAAAGAAAGTTTACTTCCACCGAAACACTTCGCTCACGATTCAACGATATTACAAATAGCCAGTTTACCGGACTTGTACAAAGTATTTGAGAGATGTTAAATTATGAATATATAAAAATGTATATTTTTTCTTATATGAGGATTAATTCACAAACTCAAATTTGATAGCAAGTGTTTAATATTATACAGTACAGCTATGATCTACCATATTTCTTATAACATTGGTTTTTTTATGTCAAGATATGTTACAAAACTGAAGATGAATATATATCAATATTTTTGTCTAGATTTTATCGCTTTTTTTATAAGTTCCTTGTAAAATTAAAATGTATATGCGTAATGGAAAACAACGTATTTTAAAAAAAGAATTTCTATATATAGTAACACTACAGATCTTTACATAAAAATAGCATATATTTTTTTTGCTACTTTTACACTTTACGTTATATAATAACAGATTGGTTCCTATTTTATACATTAAATAAAAATTTAAAAGGAAATTACAATGTACATCAATATTTTATATTGAATTTTATAGGATTTTACAATTTATCATAAAACGGATGCTCTATCTACCTTTACATTAGTTATCCTTTAGCAACACCTACTAATGCTGGTCTCACTATTCTTTCGTGCAATTTGTATCCTACTTTCGATACAACTACAATTGTGCCAGAGTCCTTGCCCTCAACCTCCTGAAAATGATATTTGTTATTCACACAAGTTATCATTTTATACATTTATTTATTATATGAATCTTACTTGTTGAAATAATGCTTCATGTTCATTAGGATCGAACTTTTCATTTACTGGATTTAGTGAAACTAGGCCGTGTTTCTTGAAAACCTAAATTAAGGAAAAAAGAAAAAATTTAATATCCTCATTTGAAATCACATTTATGTGTGTTTCTTATTAAAATAAAGATATATCTTACTTTATGTAACTGAGCTTCTGTCATGACTAAACCCTCATATAAACTTTTCAAATGTGGATTTTGCTCTGTTATCTCATCCTTTGGTACACTTTCAGTAGCTTTTCCCAATATGTCGGCTACATCTAAAAGATCCTTGCAGAAGCCTTGAATACCAAAAAGCTTGGCATCGTTAATCTGCTTGGTGAGTCTGACTCTGATATTTTCTCCTTCCGCCAATGCTCTCTTATATTTATCTTCCAATGTATCTTTAGACTCCTTAAGTTCAGTTAACTCTTTGTTGATAAGCTCCAGTTCAGTTTTCAGTTTCTTTTCATTCTCTGTTGCCTCTGACATAGGAGGTACATCAGTAGCGTCTGGTTTCTTCTCTTCCGTTATTGTGCCAAAATGTTGCTTTTGCCAAGAAAATGCAGAAGATACTTGTGGCAACCTGTAATTTTATATTTATTTATATAAATATATTTTTACTATATATACATATATACAAGAGTTTAAATAGTAATAACCACACAAGGTAAAAATTACTCCAAATAATTAAACTATTTAAGAATCACAATTAAAATATTTATAAAAGATTTTTAAGAAACCTTATTTTATTGTCTTAAAAATAAAAGTGTTATTTATGTAATATCTATATAATATATAACAAATAAAATATATCTGCCACAAAAACATATATCACCTATAATCTGTCACAATCACACAATATCTTTAAGTTATTTACTAATATTCCTATAAATAAGGTAAGAAAAACACTTAGTATTGTCTATATATGTATATAAAAATAAAATTTTAATGATTTGTTAGACTATAAAAATTTCAAGAGATTCTGGATTCACACTTTTACATGTAGAATAGACAAATTGTTTATACTAAGTAGTAAACACTTGGCGTCATGAGAAAGTTAAATAGCAAAAATTAATTAGCCTTAATATTAATTAATGAGAATTATGCTCCCGAATAGGAAACAAAACAGAATAGGTAATGTACGGTTAACCTCAATGTGCCGACTCGACATGTGACTCGGCAACGAGCATTTGATCGCGACTCGCGTCAGCGAAGAAAAGTGACATTTACCTGCGTAAGCCACTTTTATTTATTTGATAGAAATTATCGACCGTTACACGACTAAACCGAAATACCGCCGGTACGACGATCGATGCCATGATTCGATTGTGGTTGAAACCTCTAAAACCCGATTTCTGAATCGGAGCCGAGCCGAGGAATGAATGATGAAATCAGATGAAACGTAGCAATCAGACAACACAAACATAACGATCGTAGAATGTTGCGAAATATAAAGATGTCGCAAGTGTCGCAACTCACTTTACGACCGATCGATCGTTTCAAATCTCGTTTCAAGATTGTCTACTGTTTAATATTCGTAAGCAGGTATTTATAATTCGATTTTAATATTAGATTTATATATATAAAATAGGCTTAAATATATATAATAAGATTAAAGTTGGATTCCACACAGATGTAAAATTAACTTTAATCTCGATTTACTGTTGTTTATCTTCGTCGAATTCTAAGAATTTTTTAAATTAGACTTCTTAGAATTAAATAAAAATAAACAGTAAGTTAAACTGAGATTAAAGTTAATTTTACATTTGTAAAACCGGGCCTAATAAATTATAAAGATTATCGCGTAAAACCTACGGCGGGAAGAAACGAAAGAGACAAGTGTTTGAGCGGTGAATAAATGGACCAATCACAGCTATGAATTCACGGTTGTCCCGAGCCAATTGGTATGTGATTCTACAATGGAATTTGTTCCTTTTAGCTGAACTTGTTGCACCGTTCACTTTTCCTCCTTTTCTTCCAACGTTGGAGGGAACAAGGAAAAAGGAGGGAAGATGAAACGTAGGTAGTTGATCTAAAACGAACAGACCCGTATGATTCTACGCGAAGAATCTGAAAGTCTCTCGATGCGACGTCGAGGACCTTCTACGTACCGCGCGCTCGAGCTCGAGAGTGCTCGAGGGTGTACAACTGACTTGACACTGTACGCCCGCTGCCCCGCGGTTACACTTTACACGCTTGGCACTCTTGGCAGTTGTTGCGACTTGCGACTGCATAGTCCGCGTCCGCGCTAGTCCGGCTAGTCCGCGCCCGTGTGCCCGTTGGTTTACGTCGTATCGTAATCGGAGGTAAGCGGAAGCCCGCGACGCAGCGCAGCGCAGCACAGCACAGCGCAGCGCAACGCAACGCAACACGCCAACCCGTACGCGTTGTCGATACCTGTCCGAGCCGAGCGCCCTTCGCCGAGCGCGCGCAGGCGACTTCCGCTTTCCGCTTTCGAGGCGTTCAGAGCCGAGAGCGTCGTTTTTCAGACTTCAGAGACCCCGCGTTCGCGCGCGCGTGTTTCGCCAGCGCAGCGGCCAGCTAGCAAAGCTTGAGCAAGGCTGAGCAAAGCAAAACCCATACGGCGGTCGCCCGATCGGCGAAGCGCCGCGACGAGGCGGGTTTTTGCGATTATGTGTTTTGGATACGCGCCTAACGCGCCGTGCGTCCCGACGGGAATGGTCGTGCGCGACTCCCGCGAGCCGTCACACGACGGTCGTGTCCCGGCGAGATAAATCCTCGCCGACCCACGGGGGAAACCCGCGGTTCCCGTTCCCGCACGGTGGTACGCCGCACGGAAAGCGAACTCGAGCGGCGAATGCGCCCTGCACCGCTACCTCCGTGTAGTACCGTCTAATATTCCCCATCTAGTAGAGTGAGCTGACTCGGCCAAGCGAGCTTAGCGAGCTCGCGATCGCCCGCTCGCGCGCACGCCTACCAGGGGACCATCGGGTGTCGTTTCGTGTCGTTCACCGCTGATGTGCATCCCGATACTTTGAGATACGGGCTCCGCACGCATATACTCGTACACGTATATATACATATATACATACGTATATACGTATATATATCTCTCTCTTTCTCTCTCTCTCTCTCTCTCTCTCTCTCTCTCCACGTACAATATATACATATATATCTGTACATACACGGCCGGGCGGCGGAAGTGTTTTGCTCGATCCTTCTCGTCGCGCGCGCAGTCCGTGCGCTACACGGGTTAACACGGGGCCTTTAGATCGCCGCTGCCGCCGTTTCGATCCCGTTGGCGATCTCCCGCCGAGTCGTCGGGATCGTCGGGGACGGCCCATCGAGGAAGCCAACCCGCGCTCGTATCGTCGCAACTCGGAGACACCTCCCTGACACTTGGACGCCAAGCCTCCATCGAGCCCGTCCGTGTCCCGCCCTGGACACGCTGATTCGCCCGATTCGCCCGCCACACGACGGGTTATGTTTCCCACCTTCATCGGGATCCTAGGTGAGTCCACCGTCGCTGACCATCGCGCCGGTCGTCCCACCGGACGGCACGCGTGACGAATTGCCGGCCGATATGTATCTGTATCTACATTCCTTTTTGCGACGCTGTAAGCGATACTAGAAATAGTTTGTGGCAGCAGGTATAGAGACGAGATTCCTGATCTTCGGTTACGAGATATTCTCCTGCTTTACTCTGTTACAAGATCTTGAGTGTTTCAAGTCGAAGGAAATTGAACAACGTACATTTATCAATTGTTACTGAATTTATATATAATATTTATTTCAGATATTTGCATGAATTTATTTCTCTCTATTGAAATATATTTCAAAAGATTTTGTATTTATTTATTTCTTTTTTTTTCTTTTTTTTTTATGAACTTTATTCTGTTACGAGGTCTTGAATGTTTCAAGTCGAGGGAAGTCGATTGAACAATGTACATTTGTAATTGTTACTCAATCTATGTATAATATATCCATTCCAGAAATTTGCATGAATTTATTTCTCTGTTGAATACTTCAAAAGATTTTTTTTTTATTGTGGAGTATTTGATATGCAATCACTGAGATGTTTAAAATTGTAAAAGTCATTGCTCCATTTCAATAATTAAGTTTATCTCTTATCATGTGTCTTTGATCGGAATTAATGAAGTAAATTAAGGTAGATTTGTAGAGTGAATGGTGTATTAATTGTTATGAATAGGTGATTGTGTTTTGATAAATTAAATCAAGAGAGTCCAGGGGTAGTTTTTTGCAAATTTATATATTTAAGTGTAGAAAAATAAAAATAATTATTGATCGTGTTAGAATTTAAGAAACTTGAAGACAGACGTAATCTTGAAAAAAATTATTTTATATTTAATAGCCATTTCAGTTTAGATTTTTAAACATACCATTTATTTCTTTTTGTTTATTTAATAAAAAAAAGATAGTATCAAAGCTGTGTATTTCAATTCAAAGAATATCATTTTTATTAAATGTGATGTAAATTGTTTAGTGAGAGGATATAAATATTTTGAAAAGGAAACTTTTCTCAGTGTATTCAAATGGAAAATATTTAGAATTAAGAATTATTGCTAATTAGAGTGTGGTATTTTCTCAAATAATTTTAGTTAAGATTCCAAATAGCTTCGTCTAAGAAATGGGTACAGTTACAATAACGTCCATTTCAAATAGACAGCAGGATTAAGATCAAGGAACTTTTAACTGTTCCTTTATTTTTTAGACATTCAATCGTGGTGGGAGGTGCCAAGTATAGCACACTTTTGCTCATTATTTAGAGCTGCCTTCAATCTTCTGGATTTTGATATTGAGGTATCTAATCAAATGCTAACTCTCTTATGAGTAAGCAGCGTATGTAAAGCCCATTAGTACCGCTTCAGCATTTAGGCAGCGAAATAGCTGTCATGCTTCAGCTTTAATCTTATTATTTATTGGCTTACACATCATTTTGTTCTCTTCACTTCACTATGAATACTATATGCAAAATGTGTTCCAATGTTAACGTCAAAATTGTAGGATTTGGAAGAAGCTTTATTGACGGACGGAGGTACCGAAGGACGGCTGCTTCAGGAACTGATAGTAAAATTACTGGAGGGTTGCTTGCCAAATGACACTCGCAATGACATCTCTACTTTTAATTATCAGATGTTTCTGCGTAGACTTTTCCGGAAAAAATGTCAAGTATGTATTAATCTCAGTGTTGGGTATTGCAACGCAAAATTGTCAGTTGCTCCAACATTGGTAGTAAAATGTAACTAAAACGTTTATACATTTGCACAGGAATACAAATGTGAAAATCCTTTCAACACAGACGTAGACTTTGAATTGTTACCGCTTCGTCAAAAAGTAGAAATATTACGTGCGCTCTGTGACTTCAGGCTCGACGCCGAAGACGTAGTACGTAATCGATCATTGCAAATTATTACAATAATTTTACATATGCATCTCTTAAACGATTATTTGTAATCAAATGTAAAATTCATATTAGGAGCAGTCGTTGAGCAACTTGGACTCGGATAGTCTGCGAGTCGAACCTTTGGGACATGATCGTAAGAATTCTGCCTACTGGTACTTCTACGGCACTCGACTGTACCGGGAAGATTACATTGATACTTCTAACAGTGCCTCACACAAGCAGAAAAGTAAACCAAGGGATAAAAAGCGTAAAAAACGACGGAACAGAGTGGCGAAGGAGGAACAGGAAGAGGAAGAGAAGGAGGAAGCTAGTTTAATAAACAACGGCAACGACGGACGAGAGAGCGTTTGGCAAGTTGTTTGTTTTACCCAACAGGATTGGAGCAGATTGGTTGAAAAATTTCGTGATTCGGTAATAATTGTTCCTCTACTATAAAAACTAACAATAAGTTACGAATTATTGCCAAATTGAAAGTAAAATTATATATTGTATATGTTTATATTTTAGGAATACGACACCGAACGCAAACTTTATCGCACGTTGTCCGAAGACTTTATGCCGGAAATACCAAAATTGTTCGATTTAAAAGAGAAACAGCAGCGACGTAAGCTATTACAACGTAATAGCTCGCGAGTGCTTCGTAGCCAGGAACCTGCTACACAGATGGATGCAGTCATGGTCAGATCCAAGATCAGGACTAAAACGACCAAAGGGACTAAAAAAGGGACGCAAGCTTCAAAATCTTATATTAAAGAGGAGACTTCTCCGCCGTTACCGACGCCACCGGTTCAGAAAAAAGGACGGCAAACAAACAATTCTTTGGCCTCGGCTGTCGGTCAGATTGTAATTCATACTAGGGATGAAGTAGAAGACTTGGAAAAGAAGAAGGGTATCGGTAATCATGGCGATGGTAATTACGTATCTCATAATTATGGCTACAAATATGGCTATTCCTTCGGCATCGAGGAGGAGGAGCGTTGTGTCGGCATGCACAAAGTTCTTGAAAGTGTCAAAGATCACGTGGATGCCTGGCCATTTATTGAGCCCGTGGATGAGGATTATGCGCCAAGGTACAATTTCACACATATCTCAAAGTCGTGATTAATATTCATATCTGATATTAAATTTTTTATGTGAATAATTTTTATAGGTACTATAGTGTGGTACGCAGGCCAATGGATCTTAAAACTATGGAAGAGAAACTGGAAAATGGCTCGTATAAAAGTTTAAGTCAATTTAAACGCGATTTTCGGCTTATTGTTGACAATTGTAGGCAATACAATGGCTCGGATAATGGTTTGTAATATTTTTATCCATTTAAAAATTTTTTGTATCACTAGTGTTTCATTACATATATTATTATATGTCGGTAAAATTTAACAGTATATTTTATATATTTCAGAATACACGGATATGGCGATTAATCTTAAGGAAGCCTTTGACAAAGCTGTAAGTCGATATTTAGAATCAGAGACATCCAGTGACGAAGACGCTACATCTCCTCGGTCACTGGCCGGATCACCTACATCTTTATCGTATCCTTCACGTCATTTATCTTCTTCGCACCATAACGCACGTAAACGTTCGAAAAAATCAACAAAAAAATCCAAATCATATAAACCTGAGAGTAAAACAAAGTCTAAGAGTAACGAAAAAATGGACGAAGATGAAAAGAGAAATAAAAGTATTAAAGTTGCGAAGAAAAAAAGGGGGAAGAAAAAAGGTAAAAAAGTAAAAGAGGAAGAATTGGACGAGGATGAGGAGGAACAGGAAGATCAGGAAAGCGAAGATGCAATATCTGAGACTAGTATCGTAACGTCAAAGAGAAGAAAAAACGTTGATGTAAATAGTTTACTTAAAACCAAAAAACAACCTAAGGAATCTGAAGGATTAAAAACATCTAACAAAAAGGCGAGCAAAGAACGACATCAATCGAAAAAGGATTCGGAAATTGTGCGATCTGCCAAAGAAATGAAAGAAAACAAAAAGCGGAAGGAGGATTTCGAGGAAGATTACGAACCTCCAGTAATTGCGAAAAGTAAAAGTAGAAAAATAGAAAAGAAAGAACTTGAAGAAATCGCGATATTGACAGACAATACGAAGAAGAGTAAATTAAAAAAGATCGAAGTCGAAGAAAGTGACGCAGTATTTGAGGAAGACAAAAAACAATCTTCCCATGTTAAAACGAAAAAGAATCGTAAGAAAGAAAAGTCGAATTTAAAGACTGTAACCAAGTCTGATGAAAAATTCGACAAGAGTCATATAAAGCAAAAAAATAAGAAATCAAAACAAAAAGAAGAATTAAAAAATGGAGAGTTAAAAAGTCAAACAGATTCCAAAGATGTAGAATTAGAAAGTGCTTTAGATTCCAAACATACTCACATCTCCAAGAAGCTCTCCACGTTAATTGATAATAAAGATGTAGACTCGCTCGATAGTTTAAAAGATAAGATAAGCGATAGAAGACGGGAAGAAAAATTGAAAAACGAAAAAGAAAAACAAAGGAAAGCGGGGAAAAGTGACACTCACGGTGTCCATTCAAAAAAAGTGCCTTCAAACAGTAGTACTTTCCACGACAATGATAAAGACAGTGCAAAGCGATCAAAGTCGAAGAAAAGTACGAAGGAAGATAAAACGGATGACACGAGTAAGAAACATGATCCGGAAATCAGTGAAAATAAGAAAAGCACTCAAGCTAAACATACCAAAGGACTGGGAGCAGAAGAAAACGCTACGATTCAAGCATTAAATCAAGCGACGGAGAAAACACTTCATGTAAGCTCACAAGATAGTATCTTTAAGATTATTTTGAGATTTTTATTAAAATACATATATGCAAGGCATAAATTACGTTAATATTTTTTTTTAATGTAATAGAATTTTTTTTTTTTTTTTTTTAAGTACCACGTGTCTGAATGTAAACTAATAGTTTAAAATTTTTAACTCTATTCTCGCCGAGATTATTTTTAATTTATATATTGATAGTCCTGTGCACATATTATTAAATATATTGACAAGAATTATTTGATACATTAGACTGTGTCAACAAGACATTTCCGAACTTAGCATGCTTAATGCGAAGGTTTACATTTTCTTTTGGTATTTACATTCTGTAAACTGTACATACTGATTTGATCTATTATATGCAATAGGACATTAACAAGTGGCTTGACGACGCGCCCAGACTTTCGGGCTTCTCCTCTGGTAGTGATTCGCCAGTGCTTCATACCTCTTCGATTGAATCCAGTCGATCAGGATCCAAGGTCGAGGCTGCACGAAAGAGACCAAGCTCTATCAAAATATTTGGTCCTCATGGACCGAGTCGGCCGAAGAAGATACAGCGCACGATCGATCGTTTGCAACCCGGTAAAAGTAAGGGAAATTTACTTCTGAAGAAACCGCTTAATGTGCCCAGCGCTAACACCAATGATTCTGCAAATTACTCTACTAGTGATAACGATCAATCGAATAAGGATAACGATGAAGAGCCGAAACTCAGTTTAGGTACTGTGCTGAAAAACGTAGATTCCATCCAATTAATCTGCAAGAGTTTGGTATCGTCACCTAATCCTAATTTGTCGAACGACGAGGAAGAGGACCATTCTTTTATCACAACTCAAACGACTGTTAAAGAAGAGAAAACAAGTGCTAAAGAAGCTACAAAAACATCGAGCACAGTAGAGGAAAAAGAGGCGGTTCGATCTGGTACAGAAGAAGCGCAGAAACCGAAATCCGCCACACCAAATTTGAGTGCCTGGATCAAAGCCTTTGGAGCGCCAAAATCAAAAAAGAAGGACGAGGAAGCGGAAGAGGCCGCGATGATAAAAAAGGATGGGGATTCGCAGGAAGCGTTTTGCGGCAGGCAACGACGGCTGAGCACCGGTGGTAGCAGTGTTAGTGAATCGGTGTCTAGTTTCTCTCAGGAATCTCCACCGGCGCCACGCGCGGCCCATTCCCCGCAGTGCCAGCCCGTAATAACTCCAACCGAACCGATAAGAGGTGCGGGATTTTATCAGGACGCACTGTCGACTGGGAGCAGTCCCTACAACAGTCCCTACTACGCGACCCCACCGAGATACAGCGCGCAATTGCCACCCACTCCATCACCGCAAAACCATCCGTTGTCCCCGGCTTATCCGCCTTACGAGCAATCACCGTCTGTCTATCCTCAGGTACACGCGCAGCCGCCGTATCAATCGCCGTATCAGAAATCCTCGCCTCAAGATAACGCAGAGACATACCCGCAAATGTCTCCGCAACGTTTCCCGCAACAGTTATCAGCCAACAATCAGAATCAATCACCCGTTTATCCCCAACACTCCCCGCAAGCGATACAGCCAGTTTATCCTCAACCGTCGCCTCAAACACCACCGTCGAATTACTCACAACCCTCGCCGCCACAACCATCTACCCCAAATTACTCGCAGCCGTCTCCACAACAGAACGCGGTCGCTAATTATTCTCAATCTTCTCCCCAGGCGGTTACCAATTATCCGCAAGCTTCTCCACAGCAGCAGCACTCCCCCTACTCACAGTCCTCTCCTCAAACACCACCGAATTACTCGCAACCATCTCCGCAACAGCATTCTCCATATGCGCAATCCTCGCCTCAACAACCCGCTGGTTATGGTCGTTTGTCGCCGCAACCACCGCCTGCAAGTTACTCTCAACCTTCCTCTCAACCACCCAACGCGTACGCGCAGCCATCTCCTCAGCCACCAAATTTCTCTTCGCAGTCGTCGCCGCAAACGCATCCCGCTAACTATTCTCAGCCATCGCCGCAACCTCCGAATTCGTATCCGACTCCACAACACGACCGGAGTTACTCGCAATCATCGCACCAACAAATTCAGACTTTTTCCCAGCATTCACCGCAAGCATCATCCCCGTTCTCCGAACCGTCGCCGCAGAACAGTCCGTATTCCCAATCGTCGCCACAATCGCTGACCAATTATCCGCAGTCGTCTCCCCAGCAACCGGCAACGTACTCGCATCCGCTACACTCGCCGCAGACACCGCCAAATTACTCGCAGCTTTCGCCACAACAGACATCCGGAACGGCAACAGCAACGGCGGC